CCCTCAGCAACTGCCCCTCAGTCCTGCCCTCGAGCCCTTGCCCCATCCTGGTCCCCCTGCTCGGGACACACTGGAGCACTTGATGTCCTCCGTGTGCTGAGGTGCCCAAAGTGCCCCCAGGCCTCGAGTGAGGCTGCCCCAGAGCAGAGCAGAGCAGGACAGTCACCCCTGGCCCGGCCAGCAATGCTGGGCCTGGTGCCCCCAGGACAGGACTGGCCCTTGGGGCTGCCAGGGCACTGCTGGCTCCTGTGCCACCTGCCCTCGGCCCAAACCCCCAGGTGCCCTTCCCCAGGGCAGGTCTCCAGCCTCTCAGTCCCCAGTCTGTATGTATAACCTACTTGTTGGGGCTATTCCTACCAGGTAAAAGATAAAGGCAGTGTCATAAACTAATATTCCCAGAACATCTATGAAAAATGCTGTCTGTAAGAATGAACAATGCAGATCTCTATAGAAGCTGGCAAGTACTGCCACCATTTTATGGCAGGACAAGTAGCAATCCCCTCTCCTTTTTTTCAGCAGTCCCAAAATACAAATAAGTTGCACTATCAGAATAAACCCTGAACATTCGCAGCCCTCAGATCTCCAGTCCTTAAACTTCCAGTCTACCTACCCTTCCTGAAAAGCATTTGTGCTCTGTCTGGGGCATTTGCTTCCTACCAGAAACATTCCTGCCACATTGAACCAATCCTTCTCTTACCTTTAGCTAAACATAAAGCTCAGTCACAACAGTTCAACTGCAAAATCACCACTGCCACTGCTCAACACATTGGAGCAGAACACCAGGTAAGCTGGTGACTTACTAGGCACCCAAATGATCTGAAAAGTTTTAACAGGTCCATTATTTTTTTCCAGAGAAAGAGTAGCTCCCAGAAGGGCAGGGAAAATGCTGCAAGACAATTCTGGAGAGCTCCCATGGGCACACACTCAAGCCTGTGTGTTGGACAACAAAAATTCAAGAACATTTTCAGGTCAGTACTATGACTAAATTTTACCACCTGGCTGTGAGGAAGGCCGAGGTGTTCGTGGCTGCAGCTCAGCACTAGCACCACTTGCCACCATAGAGGAGGGCACATTTCCACTCTGGGACATCATGACAGCTGCAGCATTGCTCATTCTTATTAAACCTTAAAAAATAAAAATAAAAATTATCAAGTCTTGCAGGTTTTACATAGAGAAGAATTTTAGATTATTTTTCTTTAAACATCAAAAAATTGTATTTGTCAAGAAACATTTCTTTGGACTTTAAAAACTGTTTGTCCAAAATAACCTGAGGACAGGTTATTTCTGAACAACCTCTCTGAAAACTCAGATTCCCTGGTACCAAACAAACATGCTCAGGTCATGCTGAAGCTGCTTCTTTAGCACCAAACTTTTAAACAGGCTCTAAAGGGGAACACTGACTGCTGAGTTAAGGTGAGCCTGACTGAAGCCACCAAGTGACTGATTGTGTCACAGTTAACACATGTAACTCAGGTGTTTGCAACATCTGAAACTAGAAAGTAACCCAGTTGTTGAAAGAGAAGTAATTCAGTGTTTGACTTCCACAGGCTGCTACTTAGTACAATGATGGATATTGTTGCCCTGTTGGTTTATTGCTGTAATACTTACATTGGTGACCTGCAGGCAGGAAATGAAGCTGACGATGGACATGGGAGAGCAGAGCCCTTCTGAAATGTTCTACGTTCCTTGTCAAGCACAGTGATTTCACTACTGTTTAATCAGGGTTGAAATGTCCTCCATCCCTTCTTAGCAACAGCCACACATGCATCTCACATAAACTGACCCAGAATGCTCCAGGTTTTTTTAATCCTTTAATTCCTATTTACTAAAATACTAATTGTTCATTTTGCCTTAAGATTCAGCTATTAAAGTAAATTTCATAGTAGCTTTCCTTTAACTCTGCAAAATCTGACTTTTGCAGTTCAAATTCCTTCTGCACATACAATGCTCTAAAATGCAGAGTTTAATAAAGCTACACATCTTCACAAAAAATCCTGCTCTGTGATCAGATCTCAGAAGTTTATCAGCAGATAAACAGAGGCAGTGACAATGACACTGTCCTGTCCTTCCCATCACCCTAATGGATTCACCCTAAGATATTTACCATTGCACACTGAATAAAGGCTTAAGCTCATGTCCACAAAGGGAGCCAAAGAGAGCTCTGAGAGTTTGTGCACATTTCAAAGCGAATTCACTGGACTCATCTGCTTTAACAGGCTTTATGCAAAAAACCCCACCAACCAAACCAGCAAAACCCTCAAAGGAAACCACCCCAAACCACACCAATCTACCCCACTAAATCATTCCACTGTCTGTGGGACAACATGCAGCCAACAGTTCAGTTTCCATAACGCGGGACATGGTCTGGCAGTGCAGAACAAGAACACACATGAATGAAAACGACAACTACAATTCTGCACACAATACTTGCTATAACCAGTGAAATTTCATTATTAGCTCAGTAACAAATTTCTAAGTGTATAAAGCTAACCAAGTCTCCCCCAAAGGGCTTTACCTTGCCCCCCCTGCATGGGGAACCCTGTGTCCATCCGCACGGCGCTGCCTGCTCCCAGGGGCCCGTTGATCCGCACATCCTGACTCCTGCTCTGACCTAGAGCCAAGTTGATAGCACCTTCCCCTAAAAGTAATACACAGGTTGGGTAAAACTCAATAAGAAACAAAACCAGAACACAGATAATTTCAGAAGAACATTTAAAAGGTGTCAAGGAAGGAGGAAGAGACTTTCCCCATACTGTGCACTCAGAAGGACAGTCACACATCACACCACTCTTCTAGAGTGCCATTATAAGATGAACAAACACCATCACAAGCATTATCTGCCCCTGATTTCATCCTGAGATGCTCCTGGACAATTGTCCAAAACAGATATTGTAACTGTGAAATCCACTGACAACTTGTTTTAATGAAAGCCTCACATGGAACAATAGAGAAAGTTCACATTTTGCTAGTCAACAGGAAAAAGATATTTTTCAGGAGGTTTCCTGATGTCCAGAGCATTTTCAGCTTTCATTTTTATTATTATGCAATTTTATTCTTTAAAGAATAAAAGCCTTGAGCTATCATTTCACTGAAGACACAGGAGCAAATTAGAAGTTTTGCAACATTAACCAAGTACACAAAACTGCTTTTTGACAGTATAGTTTCATAGGATGTGAAGGGGTTGGAATGGACCTTAGAGGTCACCTAGTGCCAACCCCCTGCCCTGGGCAGGGACACCTCCCACCAGAGCAGGTTGCTCAAGGCTTTAGCCAACCTGGCTGTGAACACTGCCAGTGCTGGGGCAGCCACAGCCTCCCTGGGCAACCTGGGACAGTGTCTCACCACCCTCATGGGAAAAACTTCTTCCTGATACCTAATCTCAATTTCCCTCTTCCAATTTCTCCCCACTGCTCCTTTTCCTGTCACTGCAGTTCCTAACCAAGAGTCCCTCTGCAGCTTCCCTGGAGCCCTTTCAGCTCCTGGCAGGTTGCTCTGAGGTCTTCTCTTCTCCAGGCTGAACAGCTCCAACTCTCTCAGCCTGTCCTCATAGAGAAGGTGCTCCAGTCCTCTAATCAGCTTGTTGAGTCTACTCAGATTTCAGCTTTGGAAGCAAATTGGGTGTGGAATACCTTCAATCTGCACTGAGAGGATGCCCAGGTCCCGGAGCTGCTGGTTGTTATTCTGGGCCAGGATCCGCAGCCGCTCGGCAGCTTCCCGGGGGATGTTGAAGGTGACACGGACACTGTTCCAGGGCTCAATCTTCTGCACTTTTAACTTGTTGGATTCTGAACAGAAAAACAAACAGAATCAGTTCAAAGGCAGTTTTTAAACAAGTATGATGGAAAAACTTGTTTAAAAGAGCTGAAAAAAATTAAACAACACTTAACTTTAAAATTGCAGTGGTTAGTCTCAGGGTCAGGACATTCCTCCTGCACAGTGCCCAGTGCTCCAAAGCACCACAGGGATTGTCCAAAAATTAGCAATAAAAACCCTACCCAACTGAGAACCAGCATAATAGCCAACACAGTCACAGTATTACTCAAAAATTGAAATATTCTGTGGATAAACTACTTTGGGAAGATAAGCAAGTACCTAATAAAACAGATTTCATAGAAGTATAGCATGGGTTGGGTTGGAGGGACCATAAAGCTCATCTCATTCCACCTTCCAATAGACACTTCCACTAAGTTGCTCCAAGCCCTGTCCAACCTGGCCTGGAACACTTCCAGGGATGGAGCAGCCACAGCTGCTCTGGGCAACCTCTGCCAGTGCCGCAGCACCCTCACAGGGAAGGATTTCTTCCCAATATCCCACGTAACTCTGTGTCAGTGAGAAGCCACTGCCCCTTGTCCTGTCCCCCCATGCCTTGTCCCAAGTCCCCAGTGCTTCTGCAGCTCTCATGGAGCCTCTTTAGGCACTGGAAGGGGCTCTAAGGTCTCCCTGGAGCCTTCTCTTCTCCCAGCTGGACACCCCCAACCTGAATCCATGGCAGAGGTGCTCCAGCCCTGTGACACAGTAAATCTGTTCATGAACCAGATGGATGTGGCAAAAAACTGACTACAAGAATGAGCCCCATGAACCTCTCGCTCTTGAAGCATTTGCTCTACAAATGCTTGTGAAATCATCTTTATTTTTCATTTTACAAGACCAGTGCCAGCAGAGTCCTGGCACTGTTTCCTTAATTTCTATCATATTATTTAGTTTTCTGGGTAAGAATGTTAAATCCAGTGCCAAAAAGCTCATTAGCATCATGCAAAATATTTAGTTGCAGGTTTTCTGAAAACCTGTTCTACACAAGAGTGTTTCTGCACAGATCAGTGGTTTGAAAGCAGCAGGTAGGAGCCAGCAGAGAGGCTGGGCAGTCACCTCAGATGTATTGTCTAAGAGGTACCTACCTAAATGATTGCTACAAAATGCATTTAATGACAATTAACAACATACCCTAATAAGCTTTCTGAAAAGAAAGTCCCTCTGAAAACAGAAAGCACTGGCCCAAATGTTCAGCCACTTCTTTCACTGTGACATCAGATGTACTCAGTTTGCCAACTGGAGGATTCTGAAGAACGTGTCAGTCCAGGCTGCCAGTACCTCATTCCTCTGTAGCAATCTCTTGTTCTTAGCTAACTCACCAAGCTCCTGCTGCTGCTACAGTGATGGAATGACTAAACTCATTCTCGTTCTACCTATAAACCTATTTTGGACTGGAAACATGACAGGAGGAGTTTTTAAATTCTTTTTTTTGAAGGTCTGAACAGTCCTGTACTTATTGTTCTTAATGTTCCAAAATTTTACATCTAAAAACTGCATCGTCAGTTTTGGTATTTCTAGGCATTTGTATCCAAATTTCTTGTTTTTCAAACACTGCATCTGCCAAGACTAACCCAGTGTTATTTACTAACTCCACACCGAGAATATCCCATTTGGCTCTGAATCAGTTTAAAGAACTTGTCACATGGATAATTTCCAAAGTCATTTGACATTGATTTCAAAAATTTGCTCTCTCAGCTGAGGTCTGACTCATGTTTATTAATCCTGGCATGAATATTTATAACACACCCAACACACAGAGGCCTCTCTGCAACAAAGACTGTGCAGCTATGGATTGAATGCATTTAGGTTCCATTCAATTTCGTTTATTTATTTAGATTCCATTCAAAAACTACACACTTCATCCATGGCATTCACACACGTTCCTTCACACCAGTAACTGGCTGGTAGTTTATGTCTACTTCCAACTGTTTGTCAGACACAGCTCAAAACAGTGATATTTCTTCACAGCGTCTTTGTCTTATCTCACATTTCTTATCTCCCCAAGAGATAACAGCAAGGACCCAACCACTGACGCCAACTGCCTACACAGACAAAATAGAAGTAAAAAGAACAAAGTGGCAAAGAAATTCAGTTTGGTTATTCAGTAATGGGTATTTTTCTGAAGAGGCATATGACACTGTGGAAGAAAACAACACAAGACTACATAGCTGAGCAGCAATCAGCATCAGGCAAAGTGCTCAGGCAGTGGACAAATGACTTTTTCCAGAACTAGATATGCTGGCAAAAGATGTCCCCAAAAGCCTGTTGTCACTCACTCCCTACAGAGCTGTCCCCAGAGAGCTGGGCAGGCACAGAAGGGATGTGACACCTCCTCATTCACTCCCAAATTCACTACGAATAACTCCAGCAAATCTAATCACAAACTAAGAAACTCAAACACAACATAATTTGTTTATTTGTGCATAAGTAAGTATTTCTTTATAAAGAGTATTAAATAGTAAGTATATAATAGTTTCTATAAAT